CGAGAGCTGCATCGTCTTGCTGGTCCTGGCCCTGGGTCAAGCGAGTTTGAGAGGCAGCATCTCACGCATCGTCCCGGGAGAGGACGCTCCCGGGCTGCAGTACTTTACGGCCGCGTGGGCGCTGCTGCCCGGTATGATGACATCCAACAACGTCCTGGCGGCGCAGTGCCACTTGCTGGCTTCGGCTTATCTGTTCTACCTGGTGCGGCCCTTGGAGGCTTGGAATCTGCTCTGCACCACCAGTACCAAACTTCAGCTCTTGCTCATGTCCCCCAACAGAGTCCCGCCCAATCAGCGGGAGCTCACTGAGCGAATCTACTGGAATTCACTTTTGTTTGAGAGCGATCTTTTGGCCGAGCTGGATTTGCCACATTCGGGCGTCGTTCAATTTGAGGAGAACGTCGGCCTTCCTGGAGGCTTTGAGGGTGAGGAGCAAGAAGCGATTGGCCGGGACGACCTCTGGTACTTCCTCGCCGAGATTGCCCTGCGGCGGCTCCTCAACAGGGTCAGCCAGCTCATCTACTCAAAAGACTCGATGGCTTCCACAACCAGCCTGGAGCCGGTGGTGGCGGAGCTCGACTTTCAGCTGACGCAATGGTACGAGAGCCTGCCGATGCCGCTGCAGTTCCCCTTCACCCGCACCCTCCTCTCCGATCCGGTGCAGACCGTGTTGCGCTTGCGCTTCTTTGCTTGCCGGACGATCATCTACCGCCCGTACATCTTGGCCGTATTGGACAATGAGCAGGCCGTCCTGGACCCCGCGGTGCGTGACAGTTGCCACAAGTGCCTGGAAGCCTCCATCCGGCAGCTGGAGCACATTTCACAACAGTAAGCTCAAGTGCTGAATCATTTCTTGTCATAACGCTAACTCGCCGCAGTCACGCCGGACACATGCCATACCTGTGGCAGGGAGCGCTCTCCATCGTATCGCAAACGCTACTGGTCATGGGTGCGACCATGTCACCCTCTTTGAGCAGTATCCTCCTCACCCTCGTTCCCCACAGGGAAACCATCGATCAGATCATTAACGACGTGGTCATGGAGATCGAGCGATACTCGACACTGGCCCCGAGTCTGAGCCTGGCAGCCGAGATTATCAAAGAGGCCGAAGTGCGAAGGAGGGCATACCTGAGCGGTTGAAAGCCGCTCGGCCCGCCCGCCTATTCGAATTGCATCTAGTTGTCTGCAGCGGGCCACCCATCTCAACAGTGCGACCCGCGGCAGTCTCCAGGTCCACGTTCCTGACGGTGGGCCATCGCCATGATCCTCCTGCAAACGACCCTGGGGTTGAGTGCCCCGCCGCCCGTTTGGCTGGGAAAACCGGCGTACAGTCGCAACAGCATCGAGCGTGCAAAGCTACACTGAACGGTGGAGGCGTCCATCTGGGGTGCAGACAGAAATCCGGGGTCACGCCATCTGGAAATGGGGGCTGGACACCGCCCTACGAATTGGCGTGGCTTGGTTGGCGGGTAATACTTGATCTTACACGGTATTCGGACCGAAATCCCGGCATGACCACCCACACAGCCAATGAGCCAGCCTGGCGCCAACCCATTTCGAGATGGCTCTGCCGCCGACCCCCGGGAATAGAAAGAGAGAGGAAGAGGCGAGATGCTGTCACTTTTCATTGAGGGCAAGTCTGACGGAGTGGTTATTAGCGCACAGTGGCAGCACTCACAGCAGTACTCAGTGGCAGCGCTGCGAGGTGGCTGGGATAACCGGCTCTGAGGCATACGGGTTTGGGAGGAACAAGACTTTACTTTGGGCGGCTCTAGATGAGCCAGCAATGGTATCTTTGGGAGGACGGACAGAACACTTCTCTGGCCCGGGGAGTTGGCTCCCAAAGAACAGGGCTGCCGAGATGTGGTGACATAGTAACTGTACAACATAGCACTGCCGATGAAGAAATACCCCATTTCCTGTCTGTACCTGGAGAAAGAAAGACAGCCCCAATTATCTGTGCATTTGTGGGCATGCGAATGTGACCATCTGGCCTTGCGTTACAGCTGCAGACGTTGAACTCAACCTCGACAGTACCCGACCGCGGCAACGTCCTGAATGCAGAAGGTCAATGTGTTTCGACCTAGATTGCGCGGGATCTTGCGATTCGCTCACTGGTGTACTGGGAGTCTGGGACGCGACCCCAACGACTCATCTATGCGGGGTAAGGTAAGGGCAGTCTGCCCCGCGGGGAACAAGGTGACTGAGGTGCATGCTCAAGGCAAGGTACGCGAAAGCGAAAGGGGCTTTCCGGTCACGCGGCTGTACTGTAGCTGTTTCCTCGTCCATGTCCGCGTGATGCTGCGTGCGGTTGATGTCCCGGTGAGGCATGTGAGGTCTATTCGCAGGGAATACATGATGGCTTAATTATGGGTTTGTGAGAAGTATATCTCTTTCTTGTCCCCAACGCCGTGTCTCGCTCAGCGTCACAAGGGGGGGTACCGACGGCCTACTATACGACCCTGCTGATATGCCGCCGATGTACATACCGGATTGGCACCGCAGCGGCCGGATGGCACCGTGTACATGGGCCCCATCTTTTTAAGGAGTCCCGCATCTGCCGGCGCGGGGTGGGGCTATCGGGGCTGCATGGAACGGGATCACGGGGTGGGGTTTCCTGGCTGCGAGGGAAGGAGAAGACGGGATGGATCCACCAATCGATCTCGGGCTGGGTCCTGCCCAGGTTTCCAGAACGGTGATGCGAAGCAGCGAGCGTTGGAGTCTGTTGGTTTTTCTGCCCAGAAAGCCCAGCGCTAGGCTGTTTGGATTTTTTCTTTTCTGCCTCCTCTGGCGCGGGATGCGTTGCACGGCAGCGATGTCGGAGGATATCGAGGCACATGCGAGATTTGAAACCATGGAGCAGAGGATGCCGCCTACACGAGACTTGAGGCAGGCGGTCTGGTGTTTGGTAGGTCGTGGTGGTGTGGATTTATGGTCTAGGAAAGAATCGAGACGATTCGCCAGCCAAGGCCGAATCAATGAATCGATAGGATCGAAAGAGAGATGAGAAAAAGCAAAAAGCAAAACTAGTCGGTTAGTGGCCGATGTGTCGAGGCGGTCTGCAGACGCCAATGACTCGGGGGCCAGCACAGGGTGTAACGGTCCGGCTCGGCCCCACCTGCGCCAATCGGCCCCGTGGGTAGCTCCGATCTACACTTTTTCGCAGCCCGGCCGAAAAGAGTGGACCAGGCACACCCAATTTCAGCATGCCCTGCAGTGGGCGCGAAGACGATGGAGATTTTTCATGATTAGGGTACAGGAGGTCTGTAGACCCTCATGAAGCAAATTACGCATGAATAGCCAATGTTAACTGCAGTGCATGGCCCCCCCTTTCACGATATGAGACTGTCGGCCAAATCACAGCGTCCGTGTGCTGGGCCGGCACCGCTCCCGCGGGCTGGGATCCCTGTGGAACGGCTGGCGGTCACGGGTGGAATGCGAGGGCTGAGGCACGTGCGCTTCAGGTCTGGGTACTGCGGTGAGCGCGCTTGAGGTGCGAGGTGCAGCACTGCAGCGCAGTTAGCGAGCTTAGGTAAGGCAGCTGAGGTGAGACTGGGAGGTGAGAGGAAACGGTGGCGGGCAGTCCCCTGCAGGGACGCTGAGTACAGGGGCTCAGCACCGCGCTGCACCACCCGCTAGCCCCCCGCCAGTACACCCACACGCATTCCGTTAGGCTGGTTAGGTTCGCCTCATGGTTAGGTTTGGGCTGTCAAAGAGGCAGCCGCTCCCGCGCTGTAGGCGCACATCGGACTGGCCGCTAGCTGGGACGACTGTAAGACGCTTGTACGGACACGCGCGAGAGGGTTTTTTGGTGTCCGGGTGGTGGTGGTGGTGCAGGGACTCTCGTGGTTTGTGGTGGGAGGCTGGAACGCGACGAACGAGCGGACCGGTCCATTTGAACACGAGGGCGGGTCAAACTGGACACTGCAAATTGAACACTTCATGTCTGTTTCTGGATCTAAAGGGGGGCCAAAGTCAGACAGAGAAGACAGAAGAGGGTATGGGGCAGCACGAGGCGGGCAGAGGCAGAGACAATTGGATCTCGTTGTAGACGTGGGATTGGATGTGAATGAGTGAACCTAACAACCGTACAGAAACCAAGAGATGGAGGAGGCGGAAAGGTGAAGCTCCCCGCCGCCCGCAATAGGGGCCAATCGGTTGCGCTGTGCCTCGGTGGCGCCCTGTTCCTCCCAGTGGCAGCTCTTTCCAGGTCGGGGCAATCCAAGCCAATGACTCCTGAGACCTGAGTCGGCTGTCACAAACGTCCAACCTCACCCTTCTCATTCTCTCTCTCTCTCTTTACTTCGTACCGTCTCTTGTTCTCCCTCTCCCTCACCTCACTTGGACCTTGCTCCAAAGTCAAAGCTGCCAGCCCTCTCCTCTCGCACATGGGCCGATCCAAATAAGCTGATCCTTCGAACCGTGATCCATCGAAACGTCGATATCCACTGTCTCCCCCGTCCGACCAAACAGCTTCCGCTGCTGCCCGATTGATACCTCACCGAGGGGCATCAAAGACGAGAGACACGAGGCAAACCAGTCGCGGCTCGCCTTCGTCAGTTGCAGGACACATTCACGAGAAGAAGAAAAAAGGAACAGAGAAAAAAAAGCAGGGCGCGCAATATCACCGCATGTGCATGTCCGATATGCAACCCGCCATCCAAACCCAATCACCGCTCCACGGCATGCATTGAAATCACCCACTCACGAGCAACCAGCTGTCAGGGTGCACGCAGTACGCAGCACACACAGCACATCCTTTCTCGACACTAAGCCTACCTTGTAGATCCAAGGCCGTGAGACCCTCACCACACGTCCACCCCCCCCTCGACTCCCGACTCCCGCTACCGCTACCGCTCCCGCTCCCCTTTTTTCCTCCACCACCCTCAAAACTCGTCGCACTCCCGGATGAGGCTGGCCCCAGCCCAATGGCCTATCGAGATGGCGCAGAGTTGCACAGGAGAACGAGCCGTCGGCGGCATCCCCCCAGCCCGCCGCAAATGGCCGACTATGATTGGCACCCGATCCCTCACCCTCACATGAGCCCTCACCCCAGCGTCGCTGCTGTTGAGTCCGCTTACGACCCGATGCCCTACCGGAGGCCCAGAGACTTTATACAAGGGCCCGACAGCACGAGCTCACCCTCGCCCTTGGGAGCACCACCGAGAAGAATTGTGAAGCTCAGCAGTGCGCCTCCCACTCCAGGAGCCACGATGCCCAGAACCCCAAAAGCCGGTGCTCCGTATAGAAGGGGAAGGGTCCCAGTGGACAATGGCTATAAGACGTACGACGAGGAAGAGGAGGAGGAGGAGGACAGCGAGGAAGAGTCAGATGACAGTGAGGAGGAGGAAGAGTCCCCCCTGGCTAGACGGCGGCAGCAGCAGTCTTCCATTCGACACCGTAGCCGCAGCACCGCCCACCACTCGAGGACGCGGCCGCCGGTCTACGAGTCGAGACGGTCGTCGAGGTATTCGCGGTCTGAATCCGAGTCGGAGTCGGATGAGGACTCGGAAACGAGTGACTCATCCGAGGAAGAGAAGCGAGAGACACGGCGAGAAAGGGAAAGGCGGGAGCGGGAGAGGTACCAAAAGGCAGCACGGCATGCTCAGACCGTTGTCGAGCGGCGGACGCCTCCATCAGCCGATAACACAACCAAGCGCCGTAGAAAGATCAAGAAGATCATCTATATGGAGGAGGACGGCTCCACGGAGCCCACGCCACGGCAGTCCCTGGGCGACCTCAGCCGCTCGTCTTCACGGCACCGCTCTCACCCGTCCTCGTCGCGTCCGGCATCCGAGAGACACTATCCCAGACAGCATTCGTATAGTCCCGTGAGGAGATCGAGCCGTCATCATTCGTTGGCCAAGACGTACGAGATCTCTCAACCTCCCAGCGCCACCAAGAGGTTGGCGTACGAGATTCTTCCAGATAGGAGTCGTCTTGACGTGATTCCCAGTAGGCATTCCAGGAGACACCAGTCTCAGGTTGTGTACCCAGAGACGCGGTCGATCCGCCGCTCCAACACCGTATCAGGGGCATCGCATGTCACGTCGCACACGCGAAGCACGACTTCGTCAAGTAGGCCGGCGTCTACTTTGGTGGGAAACGTCCTCACAGGGAGCACCGTCTCCCGCTCGTCAGAGAAGCCAGGAGCCAGGTATGTTTGTCTACGGGTGCACGTCTGCACCAGCTAACATCGTCCAGAGTCGAGTGCCTCATATGTATGGAGGAGTTCCAGCCGAGTAGAATCGCAAAACTCAAGTGCGGCCATCGACAGTGTGACGCGTGCCTCAAGAGACACTTTAAACTCTCCATCACAGATCCGCAGCAGATGCCTCCAAAGTGCTGTGTCGCAAACATACCCTTGAAACACGTGGACCACCTGTTCACGCCCGAGTTCAAGCAGAAGTGGAATAGAAAGTTTTCAGAGTTCACGGCGGCCAACCGCATCTACTGCCCTTCGAGAAAGTGCGGCGCGTGGATAAAACCCGAACACTTCCGCAACGAAGGGGGCGGTCGCCAGTCCACAAAGTGTGGCCAGTGCAAGACCAAAGTGTGCTGCTCTTGCAACGGCAAATGGCACTCATCGAGGGAGTGTCCCAGCGATGAAGAGACGACGAGATTCCTAGACCACGCCAAAGACGAGGGATGGAAGATGTGCTACAAGTGCAGCCACATGGTTGAGCTCAAGGAGGGCTGCAACCACATGACATGGTCAGTGTTCTTTGGCATTTGGTCTGGATCTCCTGCTGACGCGTGGTAGTATTTGCGGAGCACAATTTTGTATGGTGTGCGGCACCAAATGGAAGAGCTGTGATTGTCCTTGGTTCAATTACGAGACGGTCGAGGCGGAGCGGCTTAACGAGATGCATCGGCCGTTGGCGATGGGCCGAATGGAGCAGCCGGACCCGGGCACCGAGACCCCGAGAAGCGCGAGAAGTATCCGATCAGCCGGCGTGGGTCACACGACGCCTCGTTCGCGTTCCCAAGAGTACGACAACCGACTGATGCGGAGGTTCCAAGAGAACCGCGACGAGGACCTCGCGAGGACGATGCAGACGTACGAGCTCGATGAGGCGTATGACCGAGGGTACGGGGACCTCGTTGGCATCGGCAACACGGCGGGCCACTTCATAAATGAGGACTATCGCAGAGACACCGACGTATTCGCACCCGCACCTATACCGCCTGCGCCAACGCCACCGACGGCGTTTGAGCGACCGCCGCCGACCGATTACATGTCGGGTGTCAACCGGGCGAGAGGCCTCCCCCAGGATCCTCTGGGGCAACGACTGGCTGAGCGGTTCTCCGAGTCGCGTTCGAGTCCAGGTGGCCCCCGGCCGGGTATGATGGCGCCGCCGCCACTGCCACCGCTCGCGGCCATGACGGCGCCCATCATGGGTCCTCCCCCTCCCATGATGGGACCGATGGCCATGGGCCCGCCGCCGCCGATGCCACCCCCGATGCCGATGCTGCGACGGCACACAATGGAAGAGGAATTATACAACAGCGTCAGATCGATGCGGCCGTCCGAGCGAATGACGCCGGGGCGGATGATACACGACTACGAGATGGAGGCGGCGGCGCACGCGCATACGCCCCGGAGCCGGAGACGAATGCGAGAGGAGCCCAAGTCGTCGACGCTCGCCGGGCTCACGGGCATTGGCCGCGGCGTGAACCGGGTGCATGAATGGCGAAACTATGTGTGGCCTGGCCAGCCCGAGGGTGAACACACGGCCGTAGCGTGATGCTTTACGACAGAGAAGGGGAGTCATCCTACGAACAGAAAAAAAAAACAGCGAAACACAGCACACAACACGACTTATGATTTTGCGAATTTTCCGGCCACGTTTTCTGTTCCACATTGCGCGCGTTTACGGGTTGCGGGTAGGCTGTCTGCTATTTCCATATGGTGATGGGGTGGGTGGGTTATTACTTTTGCATGTAATACTAAAGGCGTGATATATCCTCAGATGGAACATGGATTTAGGGGCGGGCGTGGTTTTCTCGGGGAATTATAGGAACAGCACGCAAGGTAGTGGTGAAGTTTCAACGAAGCATAACACACAAGAAGTTTTTGTTGCCTTGCCTTGTGTGCTTGCCTCGCTCAGGTCAGCACAGTAAAGCAGAGCACAGCTGACTCGGCTCGTTTCTCATGTGAACTACGCTGCCTCGGTCGGTTCGCCGTGAGTCTGTAGGTTGTGAGCTTTGTGTTTGCTCGGATCCCGACCGTCTGATGTCGTGGGTCAGGCGAGACGTGGAGGATGCCTATTTTGGAGTATGGGCGGCCACGTTTATTTTACGAGCAATTTCTGTATACTTTTTTTTTTTGGATTTTACCGGGGAGATTGGTTTTGTTTATGTTGATTTTGCTGTTTTGATGAGTTGTTGATGTCTTTGTTGGCATTTGATGGAGTTTGTGGGGTGTGTGTGGTACTCTATGTGAGAGTGTATCGAATCCAAGCTTTGACTGTGTAGTTGTGTACGGACCTGGGTCCGGGGTTGCGACCGGGTTCGCACCGTTGGACCTTGGACGTGGGAAACTGAGGCGTTTGGCTGGCTGACTCGTTTGGTATGGTTCATGTTGATGTTCCCCGTTGCGCGTTGCCCGTTCCCCGCTGGCTGGCTCGTGACGTGGACGGTTGGATGTGGATATGTGAGGTTTTTTGCATTGACGGGCTTATTTCGCACTATCTCAAGGTGGTACTTGCCTGGGTTTTTTGTGAGTGCTTGGCCACATCACATGTATTCCCGATCTCACTGAGTAGGAGTGGGAGTGGGAGTGGGAGTGAGATGGGATGAGATGAGATTTGTTGTAACCTATCGTTGCATTCAGCCGACGTGCTCGCATAGGTGAGCGCACGTCCGCGATGGAAAGTATGATGAGTTGGCAAGGTGAAGTGAAGTGAGTGGTGCGATACGTCGGATTTCCTCGTGCGTTTGATCTCAGCCGTAGACAGTGCTCTGTAGATCTGTCAAGCCTGAGGTTCAGTGGTTGAGTGCAGAACAGAGTTTGGAGCAGCGTTGGAAGATAGATGAGACCCCCCACCAATGGACATCTCGATTCGATGTTCCATCGATGGGAGTCTGGCGTGGTTCACCCCGGTAAGGAACGGCCTCCCATGTGAATCTCGTGGCTCCAACTAGGTGCCGTGAGACTGATATGTATGTAGTGCAAGGTCCCAGACGGTGGGGTTTTAGGCTGGACTGATCTTTTTGTGCTTGCGGCCTTGGCGGGGGGGTTTGGACTGGTGACAATCTGTGTCGAGAGAGGTATGGCATTTTCAACTTTTGCTTGTCATGAGTCGGGCATGATTTGAGAGGAGTGAGACTTTACACATAAGCCCGTCTACTAATGTATCCCTCTCACACATAAACCCGTCTGCTCATGTGTGCATCTTCCTTCTCACAGATCCTCCCAGATCGGATCGTGGAAAAGCGTGTTCGATGACCTGGATCTCATCGAGGCTCTGCGAGGAGGAACCCTGCTGCGTGATAAGGCGACGAGAGTGTACAGCATCATGTCACTGTGAGTCCTCGTGAGGTGGATTCGTGGATTTCGGAGCGTTGTAATTTGAGGCGGGCATGGCGGGGTTGTAGACGAGGTATCTCTTGTATGGCTGTAGTGCGAAAAAGTACTTGAAAGCTTAGCACTCGCTAGTTGTTCATAGACTGACGGGGAGGATGAAGAACTGGGACGGGAGGAGGGGACCCAGGGCTGCCGAAAAGGCTTCGCCCTTCGCCCAATGACGTTGACGTCGTCTGTGCGTACTGTACGCTCTTTAGCGGGCACCCAAACCGAAGCACCCACGCACCGGTGGCACCCAAGCCTCCCCCTCCACCCCTGTCCCTGGTCTGCCGGATCCCTCGTGCTCTCTTTTTTGCCCATCGGCGCCATCGCTCTCGGGCTGCTCGCTGCATCTTGCTGGCCGCTCTCGTCGGGGAATTCGACATTCCACCTTATGCAAAGCTTCGCCCTGCCTTTACTTTGAGCCTTCAACCTGGAACCCGACATAACGTACCTTACCTCGTGCCAGCTGTACTATCCGGGGGGCACAGGGCCATCCAACCTCAAGCTCCGTCTTTCTCCCCCATCGTCTTTCTCCTTTCCCCATCTTACCTACACTCACCTACAAAGTCTACAAAGTATCCAAAGTACACCCTCCAATACCTTGCCTACGACCGCACGTATTTGTACTTTGTCACTCCGAATCCTCCTACCTCGGGTTACACCTCACATGCCCTCTCGAGTTTTCCTCAACAATCGCCTCCGAATGCAAGACGATTTACGCGATTCCGGCTTCAGCACGTATTAAAACATCCCGAGCTCCAACCGTGCGATCCTCAGCTTCTTCACCCTTAACTTCTCGTCGAAACTCCTCCCTACCCCCCGATTCGAATCACCCAGAGATGACGGCGTCGACAACGTACCGAAAGTAGACAATCTCCCCCCCACCCCCGGCAGCACAATGCTCCTCGTATACCAGGTCGGGAGCGTCAAGATCGGAGAGGTCGTCCGCTACACCGTCACCTACACGCCTTCCCAGGACCGAATCCTGCCCTCGCCCGAGCGCCTCTACCTGCGCGTCCGCAACACCTCGGCCATTGCCCTGCGCGCCGCCTTCGTCCATGGTCCCTACACGCTGGGCGCCGCCGCCTATCCGTCCAACTTCGACCCCAACGTCAAATTTGCGAACCCGCGCCGCTATGGCGTGCCCGAATTCGAACCCATGCTCAAGGCCGGCGGCTCGTGGGAGTGCGAGCTGGTCGTGCCGGAACACATAAGGCAGAGCGCGGGTACCGGAGGTGGCGCACATTTCGGCGGCGGCGGCGGGGCATCCGGGGCACCCGGTGAAACCGAGACCGAGTGCGCCTCGTGGATCGTCGAGGTATCGTCGCAGGTCATCTTCTCCACCTCGGCCGCCGTCGGGTACGAGGTGACCATTGCGAGGGATGCCAAGTCGCTCAACCTCAGCTCGTCGCTGCCCGTCATCGGCGGCCAGGCGCAGGTCCCGCAGCCCGGCAAGGTCGCCGATCACCAGCAGAGCATGGGCGCCAAGGACGGCCATCATCCGGCGCAGCCGAAGGGCGTCTTCTCCAAGGCGATACGGCTCAAGGTCGAGGACACGGCTGCGTTGTGGAACACCCCGAGGCTTCCGGGCTGGGACGACCTCAACATTGACCGCCTCAAGAGCCGCGCGAAAAAGGACCAGCCCGTGGAGAGCGTCGTCACCCAGGATAGGCAGACGGACGGAAAGCCCGAAATCAAGCAGAAAAAGGTGCACCTGGTCGTCCTCACCCACGGCCTGCACAGCAACCTGGGCGCGGATATGCTATACCTAAAAGAGAGCATCGACCAGACGGTAGCACAAGCAAAGATTGATGCCAAGGCCCGGCGTGCCAAGGAGCGCGCCGACAAGACGGACAAGGGAGAAGACAAGACCCAAGACGATAGCCCTGCAGAAGACGACGGGGACGATGAAGAGGTCATTGTGCGTGGCTTCTCGGGCAACGCCACAAAGACTGAAAGGGGTATCAAGTACCTGGGTAAGAGACTGGCTAGGTACATCCTGTCCATGTCGTACCCCGACCAGCCGTTCTTGCCCTCAAAGAAGGGACACGCAGAGTCCGCTGTCTCTGCCGTCTTCAACAAGCCGGACTCAGACAGCAGCAAGGCGGCCCACAAGCACAGCACGATACACGAAAAGGAGTCGGACGAGAAGCGTCCGTTCAAGATTACCAGCATCAGTTTCATTGGACATTCCCTAGGGGGCTTGATTCAGACATACGCCGTTGCATACATACAAAAACACTCGCCCGAATTCTTCACCATTATCAAACCAATCAACTTTGTCGCCCTCGCCACGCCCTTTCTCGGCCTCAGCAACGAGAACCCTCTCTACGTCAAATTCGCCCTGGACTTTGGCCTGGTCGGCAGGACGGGTCAGGATCTCGGTCTCACATGGCGAGCGCCCACCATTGCGAGGAGCGGGTGGGGAGCCATTGTCAGCAACCTGGGCGAGAGCGCACACAAGAGGGTCATGGGCGAGGTGCAGCCCGAGTCGAAGCCTCTGCTGCGGATTCTTCCGACGGGCCCAGCGCATACCGCGCTCAAGAAGTTCCGCAACCGTACGGTCTACTCCAACGTTGTCAACGACGGCATCGTGCCGCTGAGGACGAGTTGCCTCTTGTTCCTGGACTGGCAAGGACTGGGACGCGTGGAAAAGGCACGGCGGGAGGCAGGCTTGGTTGAGACGTTGGTTGGGGCCGGCTGGGCCGAACTGACGGGCGGCAGTCTGGCACCGACACCGAGGAGATCTAGCGCATTTCTGCCACCAGACGAGGGAGAGGTATCAGACGATCACTCTGGGAATATCACGCCTACAGCACCGACAGATGCGGTTGAAGTACCGCAGCCACCACAAAATGCCATGGTCGAAGATGACCGGGCGAGTCTGCGGTCGGTGCCCACGCCGTTCAATGAGAGCGGCCCTGAGGATGCCAAGGATACAAGTAGCGGCCCGTTTGCCGGCTTCTTCTCCCTGTTCAAAGGCAGCGAGCAGACGCAGGCCAAGACGCAATCAAAGACGCCCAGCTTGTCCAACAAGCAAAACAAGATTTACAGGCGCAGTCAGACGATCAACTTTGACGAGATCCCGCAGACATCGGGCACAAAGGTCACGGCAGGCCACGAGCTGGAGCGGGATCAACAACACGTCGCGCCGCCGAGGACGAGCTTCTTCGAATCTGCGCACGACCTGATCAATCCCAAGATCCCGACGACGGAGTACATCATTGATCCCTCCAAGCGGCCCAGAGCAATCTTCCACGACCGCGTGTACCACCCGAGCGATATACCGCCTCCCCCGCTGAAGAAGAAGCCTACCGGCTCGTTGGCGTCTCGGAGAAGCACGTTCCGAAGGGCTGCCTCAACGGGGTCTGGCGGCTCGAGGACCAGCACGGACTCGTCGCCGCACCCGTCGCAGCGCTTCTCGCACGAGGGCACGATGGACTCGACGCGAGACTACGACGACACGATCAACACGAACCCCGACAAGGGTCCCGACGAAGAGATTGACGGGTCGCAGATGCGGGTCGAAGAGAAGATTGCCCGGGCCTATCACCGCGGTCTGGCGTGGCGCAAGGTGCTGGTGAAGCTGGAACCCGACGCGCACAACAACATTATCGTGCGTAGGATGTTTGCCAACGCCTACGGCTGGCCTGTCGTGAAGCACTTGGTCGACGCACACTTTAGCGATTCCGCTACAGCGAGAACGCGCGACGAGGACGAGGGGTCCGGCGAGCTTGCGCTGGACATGGGCCAGGCGCCGAATAAGTACGGGGACGAAGTCAGGGATAGCGGCGCCGGGTCGACGGGCGGCGATGGATCTGACGAACGGCCGATTGCGGGCATGTTGTCTCCCAATTCGCAGCGGGAAGCCGCAGACCGGGTGCCGGATATGCAGGCGCCGCCGAAACGACGTTCATCGTCGCGCAGCTCGTCGGCCAGCCCACCTAGGATCACGCGGGCGACGAGGCCGCAGCGGCCCGAGAGGGTTGACTCCATGACGTGGAGCGATCGGGACTGGGCGGACGACAGCGATGATAGTGAGACGACGGCGACGACGGCGAGCGTCAAGAGTCCTGTGGTGGCGGAATTCAAGGATAAGGAGGGAGGTAACCGGTCGTCGACGCCGCTTGGTGGGTGGAATTGGACGGAGAAGATTGTGGGGAGGGGAGGGTCGAGTCGCAAGGCGTCGCCCAAGCCGGAGACTCAGGCTGATGGCAAAGCCGTGAGTGACGCCAAGGGTGATGTCAAGGCTGTTGAGGGCGTCAAGACTGTCGAGGCTGTCGAGGCTGTCAAGCCTGATATGAAGGCCCCGATCAAGGCTGGCGACAAGGCCGGTGCCAAGGCTGATGCTGAAGCTGATGCCAAAGCCGACGTTACAAACGGTGCCGTCAAGAGCGACGATGTCAAGAGCATTGACAGCGGCGTCGACTAATGACGGGTGGTGAGGGCCGGCGTGCACATGAGAAATACCTACATTACATACATGCTTTTAATCGATGAGATCACGTTTTGATGACTTATTTGACCATGAGATATTCGATGAAGTGACAGTTATCATGAGAGTGATGAGTGTAGTATCAACCGTCGGGCAACACTGAGATGTCGTTGCAACTCAGTAGTAGGGTACATAGCTACACACTTCAAGGCCACTGGGAGGTATGTACCTGACTATCAGCAGATAGGAGCCGGGACCCCTGCAACATCCCGCTTGCGTCATCGGAGAGTGGAAACTCACTTATAGATATCTTCTCACTTACAAACTCGGTCTCAAAATCCCGAGTTACGACGGATTGAACACATCTGTTGATCATGTCAATGAGACCGCCGTCTCTGAGACTCCTCAATGGAGTCGCACGGATGTCTCGTCGGGGCTTCTCAACCTCCCCCGCGAGGGACGTCGATTTCACCCACGTAGTGAGTTTCCCGGACCCTTCAGTTTCCCGATTTCAAACATCATCAATATCATACTCACAACCCCACAACACCGAATCTCAAACAATGACTGTACTAACACGCCCAGGTCATCGGCGGCGGCGCAGTAGGCCTCGCAACGTCCCACCGCCTCGCAACCCGCCCGGACACCACAACCCTCCTACTGGAACGCCACACCGCCGTCGGCACCGAAACGTCCTCCCGCAACAGCGAGGTCATCCACGCGGGGATATACTACCCGCCAAACACCCTCAAAACAGCCCTCTGCGTCCACGGCAAGCACCTCTTGTATGATTTCTGCGCAAAGCATCACGTGGGCCACGCCAACACGGGGAAATGGATCGTCGCGCAGAACGACGTCCAGCGGGAGGCGCTGCAGCGCGTGCACGATTTCTGTACGAACGAGATTGGCGTGCCTGTGCGGTGGGTGGGCGAAGAGGAGGCGAGGAGGGAGGAGCCCGAGGTACGGGCGCTCGCTGGCGTGCTGGAGAGTCCTACGACGGGGATCGTCGATTCGCATGGCTTGATGGTTGCTTTGAACGGGTTATTCGAGGACGCGGGGGGTGTCGTCGCCTTGAATTCTCACGTCGTGGGCGTGCGTCCCCTAGGACAAAAAGGAAGCCAGGGGTGGGAGGTCAGCGTGCGCGATCCGTCGACGGGGGAGACGAGCGCCGTCACGGCGGAGGTGCTCGTCAACGCTGCCGGGTTAGGCGCCGTGGACGTGCACAACATGGTTGTTCCCCCGTCCCGACGCAGGGAAATGTTCTACGCAAAGGGAAACTACTTCTCCTACTCTGGCGGCAGCAAACCCGCCCCCAAAGTCAAAAGACTCATCTACCCGGCCCCCGAACCCGGCGCCGGCGGACTGGGAACGCACCTGACGCTCGACCTCGCGGGCCGGGTGCGCTTCGGGCCGGACGTGGAGTGGGTCGATTCGCCCGACGACCTGGCCGTCAACTCCGCGCGGCTGCCCGAGGCCGTGGAGGCGATTAAAAAGTACTTGCCTGGTCTCGATGCCGGTGCCCTGGTGCCGGATTACGCGGGGATTCGGCCCAAGCTGGGGCGGAAGCAGGCCGTTGCCGACGGCAGCGGGTTCCACGACTTTATCGTCCGCAAGGAGGACGGGTACGAGGGGTGGGTGAACCTGCTGGGCATCGAGAGTCCCGGCCTGACGAGCTGCTTGGCGATTGCGGAGCGGGTGGATGAGATTGTGTACGGGTAATGGCACGATAGCATGGTACTGTGGACGAAGTGGGCAAAGTATGATAGGGCTGTTCATTCTGTGTCTCCGACGCAGATCCAAATCGAAACGCTACAATATCCTATGCTCTGCCATGTACTACACGGAAAAAATGGACCAGAGCGCATCAGACAAGGTCCAACCACATGTTACAGTAAACACCGAAATGACGCTGCAGACTTTTCATAGAGAATGCGTGTGTAGATGTCGTCCCTCCCCAAATCATAAATCATGCAAAACTCCGCGACGCCGTTACCCCCAGGGCAGCTGTGTCATTTTCGGCTGTACAGTCAACTCCGTCATTCCAAACGCCAAAGGATATCACGCGCTACCGTAACGTCAAGCTGGGCTGGAACTTGCGGCCTTGAATGTCGACGTGGAACTCGTAGATGCCGTTTTCCGCACCAACGTACCTAGTCGGTCAGCTTCATTCAGTTTCACGCCAAAAGACCAACTCACAAGACTCTGCCATCCTCGCTCCACGAGATACCGGCCGTGTTGTCGGGCTCGGGGGGTGCTTCGTGGACGCCGCGCTCGGCCATTCGCTGCTCGGCTCGTCGGCGCAGGAATTGATTGCGCTCTACTTGCCGCAGAAGGTCGTGGTCGCGCTCCATCTCACGCATGTTGACACTGTTGAGGAGCGGCAGGATTTCCCTGTTGCGGTCCTGAACGGCTTGCCGGAGATCCTGGATGTTGCTCTCAAACGACATGGTGTAGAGCGCTTCCAGGTCTGCCCAGCCACTGCCCGCCGGTGTCAGGCTGCGCAGACCGCTTGATCCGCCACGCTGTGTTGCCGCCAACGCTTCACTCGGGTGTGTGCTCGCCGGACGCCGCGGTGGGTGAGGAGCCGCCAGACCGAGATCTCGGTCAGAGCTGGACTGCAAGTCCATTGTGCCGTCCCGACCCGAGTTGGACTGCAGAATGAGACGCTGGGCCGTACGTATGCGTTCCTGCGCCCGCTCTCTCGAATCGCGAATGTTGCCGAGGAGGTCGCCAATGGCCCTGGACACGTTTTGATTCGAGTCATTACTGGGCTCGCCCGCCTCATGATCTAGCGCCCGGCGCGCCGCGATTCTCTGTGCCCTTTGCGCTTGGATATCCCACTGCGCATTCAGCCGTGGGCGTGCCATTGTTTCGGGGTCGATACGGGCACCTCTTCCACCCATGGGAGGCATGCCGCCGAAGAACTGTGGCGATGATTGCTGAGACGTCTGCTCGGCCATGCGCGCCGCGATCCGGTCCCTCTGCTCCCTCCGTCGGCGGTCCTCCTGCAGAGCCTCAAGCACCCGCGTCTCGTCGGGTGTGAGTGCTAGGTGCTGGCGCCCTGGACCATCCAGTCGCCGCCGCCGGCTTTCGCTGGCCTCTGGCAGGATGGACGACAGAGTATCGTTCGGTTCGCCGCGACCCTCCAGTAGCCGCGGGTCAATCGTGGCACGATCCAGGACGGGGATTTGGTCGTACTCGTCGGTGGCGCTGATGTCCAGAATTTGACGCTGCACAAACCCGCTCCTTAGATCCGCGATACCAACGTGGCCGCGGTCTTCGGTCCAAGCCAGGAGGTCATACGGCCCGGGACAAAAAGCCATGTCGCGGACTGCGCCCGACCCGGCCATCGGCCGTGACGACGTGAAGGATGTCAGCAGCGGATCGGCAACGTCCGGATCAGTCAGGCTCGCAACGTCAAACACCGAAATGGTGCCATATTGTGTCCCGACAGCGAGATATGCCCCCGTGTTGGAAAAACACGCCGCAAAACTTCCTCTGCTGTCGGAGCTGTCGTCGCGACGCTGGCTCTTGAGCAGAATCTTGCCACACAGCTCCCAGCGGTACTCCACCTTGTCGTCGTTCCTAAATGGGCCGTTTTCGTCGATTGGTGCCTCTGTACGATGGTGAATGTACAAGTAAGGGTCGTCGAGGATTGCGCACAAGAGGCGGCCGTCGGGCGAGATGATGGCTCGATTGACGTAGTCGGGATACGTCACTATATCCAGAGGCTCGACCTTGTCCTGGTTATCAAAGTCGCGCAAGCCGACCAGAACGACCGTCTTATCATTGTTTGCCAGGACGGCGGCGGACTCTGTGTATGCTCCGTGATGCATGGGGCCGGCTGCTGGTGGAAACCACATGGTTATGCAGTTGACGCGGTCGCGCGCGAGCTTTTGGCTCTTGGCAATGACGCTCTTGTCCAGCCTGCTGCTCATATTCAGCCGCCGCGATTGGCTGAGGAGCCCAAAGACGGTATCTTGCGGTCGAGGGGATTCTGAGTCGGTGCCCATGCCGAGGGGTAACCTTGCGTCGGGTTCCAAGTTGAGTTGCAAATGGAGATTATTATCGTCATCGCTAGTGCTGTCCATCTGGATCGCCGTGAACTCGCCCGTCTCTCCTCCGCAACACACCCAGCCGTTCTCAGCGACTAGGCATCGCGGCGAAAAGGAGAGAAACTTAACCGTCTCGCACTCCTTGGTCGTCGTGTTGAGCCGCTGGACATGGTTGCTGCCAGCGCCTCCGGGGAAGTAGACGAGGTTTCGTTTCTCGGCGCTGATGAGCGATCGTAGTTGCCAGTGTCTGCAGGTGGTTAGTACTTGAGGCAAGGCATGCGGTGTGCGCGTGGTAGTGGACGAAGACGCACTGAGATCGGACAGGGATACGGTAGTGTTTCCGCGGCTTCTTGGAAATCAAGTCGTTTGTCGGATAGTATCTGCGACAGTCAGTTTGGCATGGTCGAAACAATTATATTGGGGTTCATACGACACGCCATCTTTCACAGCCATGATGGCTTATGCAGTGGCCAGAGGGTTCGTCCGTCGGAAAGTAAACATATAGGTGCCGAGGCACGCGTATCGGAGCAGAGTCGCCAGTGCAATCAATCCCACCCGCGTGCTGAGCGATAGCAGTGACGACAGGCCGGTGAACACGCAGCGACCGATGAAGCCGTGGGATGATTCGGGGTGTCGGATGTTTGGGGACGATGCGATGTGAATTGCGCGAGACGAGAGGCAACTTCCCGCATGACGTCCGTGTATGGCAGGAGGGGCCTGTTCTGCTTTTCGCCTTCGTCCTGGTTGGTTGGCGGCGCTCTGCCACAGAATACAGTGGCAAGCTACCACCTTGGGTACTTTAGAAGGGGCGACCAGGGAGTACCTCTGCAGCACGTACCCTAGGCCAGTGCCTCGGGACGGGAGCTTGGGCTGCTGCTTACCCAACGAGGCACATTGCTTACCTATCGGAGTCTTCCACCTCCCCTACCTAGGCACCTTAGGCAAGATGCTAGGCAGGTACCTCATCAGCAAGTAGTCCGGGGTCTAGACAGGCGTCCAATCCAATTGTTGGTTAATTTTCTTAGCTAAAAGACGCCATTTTGACGGGGGTTTCTAGCGCTTTAATGGGCCATCTTGGTGCACCCAAGTAATTAGTATCAAACCACCTCGATGCGACCGCAACCTATGGTAAGGTTGGCTTTGCTTCTCCATCAAAAGTCGGCAAATGACCGTACAGCCTCATCTACCAATCGTGAACTCCCATCTCAATTCGAACAGGAAATCTTGCCAGTTGTGGACCTCGTTGCGATCCGTGACCTGGACTCGTTCTTAGGTGGTACGTCCCAACAGGTCTCAGCCATCTTAGCCTCAGTCGGACTTGATTCGAGAGGAACGCAGAGACGGGGAAGGAAGCCAGATTCTCCAACACTACGGCTCTCGGATGGGTAGGCGTACACTTGCCAACGAGAACCGCAGTATTGTGTTACTTCAGCCTCAAATCATTGAGCAGCAGAGTTGACTGGTAGATGATCTGGCAAGGAGACTCAAGTTTCAATCTCTGAAATGAACATCAGGGTCTTTGAGAGTTTTCTTGATCCAAATCGCTTAAAACGAGCTACAGCATGCCCAAGACGTAATCTACCATGTTGTGGTTTCGGAATTCTCCAACCGGCGCCAAAGCACCACCGCCAATCAGTTTGGAGTTCTACTGATTCTCTGGCTTGAGAATCCTCCAAATCATTGTGCGGTCAAAGTACCGAAAGCCACATCGGATAAAAGGGGGAGATATTACCCATACGAGCAGGACCCGAGGACTTTGACTGATACGTTGGATACACCCGAGAAGAGACAACAGGAAGCTGCGTTGCGCCAGGTCTTGATCCGACCTCGGGGTATCCAGACCCACCGCCGAGTCCACTTTTCGGGACCGGAAGCGCAGCCGTCGGGGCCTGATGGATCGGGTGTACTTTCCGCGCTGCCGGTGGACCTCTCCAGCTTTTCTCTGCGCAGTTACTCAAGTGTAGAGCAGAAGTCGCACTCCCAAACAGTCTGGAACAGCTTGCCGGTTACACGATGGATTGCAATTCGTGCCTAAAAGAGTGCAATTGTGAGGGCCATGAGTTGGATGAACCGTCCAAAGACACTGGCATGCAAGATGGAGGCGCAAAAACTCTGCGTGCCAGGGGATGAATGAGCAACATCAACGCGTCAGTGCCTCGACGGCAAAGAGCTCAATCTCCAGGTCGAAAAATTTCCAGCCGAGCTCCCCCTAGCTCCGTCCCTGGCCGGTGACACGTCCACTAGCGCCACGTCCATTACCTGCAATGGCCGGGCGATCCCGTTGCTTCAGCGCGGTGGCTGCCATTCTTCCGTCACGTGCGACCACGCCCCCACTGCTGGGGGCCTGGAAAGCCCCAAATTTCTAGCAGTGGAGCGCCTGCAAGTCGGAATAACCGACGCCGGGGTCCCGACCTTGCGGGATTCGGTCGGCTTCTATGACCGGGGGCGCGCATCATTTTTCGGGTCAAAAAATTTCGATCTCTCCTTGCCATCATCATTTCCTCGCATCCTCATCCACCTCCTCCCTCCCCCCAATTCATCCACTGTGTACTCTATAATAACCGCTTTTCCATTCCTTTCCGCGCGCCATCTTCTTTTCCCTCCATCCCCTTTTGTTATACCCACATACAATCAGGCAAGATGATGTCTGCACGCTTCTCAAGAGCTGTAAGTTGTGATCCCAGTGACACCTGTCGCGATACATCAGAGTTTTTTGCTAACGCGCAATAGCTCCCCAGAGCTACCAGCTCCGTCGCCCGCTCGGCCGGCTTCGCTCGCCAGCCCTTTGCCTCAAAGTTCGCTCGCTACGAGTCAACATCATCTGATGGCAAGGTCACCGGCGCCGTGATCGGTATCGATCTCGGTACCACCAACTCTGCTGTCGCCATCATGGAGGGCAAGGTTCCCAAGATTATCGAGAACGCCGAGGGTGAGCAGTCCATTGATCTATCGTCCACGCACCAATAAGCTAACAGTCATCAACAGGTGCGCGCACAACGCCTTCCGTGGTCGCCTTTGCTCAGGATGGTGAGCGTCTCGTCGGTGTCGCCGCCAAGCGCCAGGCCGTCGTCAACCCCGAGAACACCCTCTTCGCCACCAAGCGTCTCATCGGCCGCAAGTTCACCGACGCTGAGGTTCAGCGTGACATCAAGGAGGTTCCCTACAAGATCGTCCAGCACACCAACGGCGACGCCTGGGTGTCTGCTCGCGACCAGAAGTACTCTCCCTCGCAGATTGGTGGATTCGTCCTCAACAAGATGAAGGAGACCGCCGAGGCCTACCTCTCCAAGCCCGTCAAGAACGCCGTCGTCACTGTTCCTGCCTACTTCAACGACTCTCAGCGTCAGGCCACCAAGGATGCCGGTCAGATTGCCGGCCTCAACGTCCTCCGTGTCGTCAACGAGCCCACTGCCGCCGCCCTTGCCTACGGTCTTGAGAAGGAGGAGGACCGCGTTGTCGCCGTCTACGATCTTGGCGGTGGTACTTTCGATATCTCCGTCCTCGAGATCCAGAACGGCGTCTTCGAGGTCAAGTCTACCAACGGTGACACCCACTTGGGTGGTGAGGACTTTGATATCCACCTCGTCCGCCACCTCGTCCAGCAGTTCAAGAAGGACTCCAACATTGACTTGTCCAACGACCGCATGGCCATCCAGCGTATCCGTGAGGCCGCCGAGAAGGCCAAGATTGAGCTTTCCTCCTCCCTCCAGACCGACATCAACCTGCCCTTCATCACTGCCGACGCTTCCGGCCCCAAGCACATCAACCAGAAGCTCACTCGCGCTCAGCTCGAGAAGATGATGGACCCCCTCATCACCCGCACCATCGACCCCGTGCGCAAGGCCCTCAAGGATGCCAACCTCCAGGCCAAGGATATCCAGGAGGTCATCCTCGTTGGTGGTATGACTCGCATGCCCAAGGTTTCCGAGTCCGTCAAGAGCATCTTCGGCCGTGACCCGGCCAAGTCCGTCAACCCCGATGAGGCTGTCGCCATTGGTGCCGCCATCCAGGGTGCCGTTCTCTCCGGTGAGGTCAAGGACCTTCTTCTCCTCGACGTTACTCCCCTCTCCCTCGGTATTGAGACCCTTGGCGGTGTCTTCACCCGTCTCATCAACCGCAACACCACCATCCCCACCAAGAAGTCCCAGACCTTCTCCACCGCTGCCGACTTCCAGACCGCCGTCGAGATCAAGGTCTACCAGGGTGAGCGTGAGCTCGTCCGTGACAACAAGCTCCTCGGCAACTTCCAGCTGGTTGGCATCCCCCCTGCCCACCGTGGTGTTCCCCAGATCGAGGTCACCTTCGACATTGACGCCGACTCTATCGTCCACGTCGGTGCCAAGGACAAGTCCACCAACAAGGACCAGTCCATCACCATTGCCTCCGGCTCCGGTCTGTCCGACTCCGAGATTGAGCAGATGGTCAACGACTCTGAGAAGTACGCCGAGGCCGATAAGGAGCGCAAGGGTGCCATTGAGGCCGCCAACCGCGCCGACTCTGTCCTGAACGACACCGAGCGCGCTCTCAACGAGTACGCCGAGAAGCTCGACAAGACCGAGGCTGACGGCATCCGTGAGAAGATTGCCTCCCTCCGCGAGTTCGTCTCCAAGAGCTTGGCTGGCGAGGGCAACGCCACCGCTGCCGAGATCAAGGAGAAGACCGACGAGCTCCAGGTCGCCTCCCTCAACCTCTTTGACAAGATGCACAAGGCCCGCGCCGAGTCTGGCGAGCAACCCGCTCAGGACGCCAACGCCGAGAACAAGGACGAGAAGAAGCCTTAAATGTCTTCATTCGTCTCTTTGCATCTCGTTTTCACCTCCGCGAGTCGAAAGTGACTCGCGTCAGCATGTTTGATTATCACTTTTGGGCGCGGCATAGACCTGCTTTGCTCAATGTTTGTATTCCACCTGTACTCATATCCCGGTCTCGGGTTCGCCTGAATGGCGCCGAGCCGGCTCTCTCTTCCTTGTTACCCCTTTTTACAACATGTTTGTTAATACCTTGCCTGCGGTCGGCGGAACCGGCGTTGGAGCATCAAAAACATTCACACACACGAGATACCGATTCGGTATTCATGATATGATCGACGGTATGGATCAAAGGGGATTAAGACGGGGTTGCATATGTACAAAACCAAACCGAATCTGGAGTAGTTAGACGTGATAATTCTACATCCCCTCTCAAAACAATCACCTGCCTTGAGACCGTGACACTTTCATGTTAGTAATGCCGGAGCCATCGTGCATGTCAACAACTGCAGGTAACGTAGAAATAGACGTGATAAAGGCTCTCGCCCGATTAATTGACCACTTTTATCTACCAAAACCAAACCATCCTCTCTTCTGTGCCTGCGGCTTCTCGCCGCTCTGTGCCGCAGGTGCGGCCTGGCTGGGTGGCGCCTTGGCAACGGGCTCCTGCGGCTCCTTGCCCGGGTAATCAATGTAGTTCCACGCCACGTCGAGGAAGATGGGCTTGACGGGGATGGCGGACAGCTTAGGCGGGACACTGACGATGTTCTGGAGGTCGATCTCGCTGGAGGGGTACTCGCGCAGCCGCTCAATCAGGGGCAGCTTCTGGGCGTCGTCCTCGTTGGAGGCCGCCGACTCCTTGAGCAGGTTCGAGAGGTGGACGAGAGCGCGGTGGCGCTGTAGTTCGCCTTGGAGGTAGGTTGCCAGGGCCTTTGCGTCCGCGGCGGACACGTCGATGCTGCGCGGGGCGTTGGGGTGCGGTTGGGAGCCCTTGGTGAGGGTCGAGGCGGCTTCCTGGGCTTCACTAGTGGCGTGCTTGATGAGGGCCAGCGCGTTGACGGTGTTGCCGATGATGGCGTGGGAGCGGGCAATAGAGAGAAACCTGTGTTGTTAGTATGAGATAACTAAACCGGTGATATCAACTCACTTCAGAGCTTGAAAGTACTCGGTAAAAGCCTCCAGCTGGTCGGCGAGCTCCTCGTCGTTGGCCACGCCGGGCAACTCCCTCGCAGCCTCGAGACTCTGCAGGGTACCTTCGTACAGAGCGACGAGTTCCTTCAGCTTTGCCGCCTTGCGTCCGGGGGTCTGTTCCTTGGCAATCTTGTCTGCCTTCTTGGACTTGCGAGCCGACTGGTATCTCTCCACCAGGCCATCGTCGTTGCCCGTCAAGACGCGGTTGCGACCGATTCGCCAGCTAATCATCTCGTAGTTGACCGCCGTTCTGGTAATCTGCAGGCTCTGCATGCGGGAGTCGCTCTGGGAAACGCCCTCGCCTCGCAGCTCGTCGATCGCTTCTTTTGTGGCATCGGCGGCATCCTGCGTCGCCTCGAGGATGTCATCATACGCGGCAGCCACGTCCCTGGGGTCGGCATCAACGAGGGACGGCCATGTCTCGGAGAGCTTCGTCTTGGCTTCCTCTGCTCTGCCCCACGCCAGAGAGATGGCGGCGTCCTCGATCTTGACGTCGCGAGAGCGCCAGGTAAGTGTCCTGGGTGCGTTCTCCTCGCCGCCCTTGCTGGCCTCGGCGTCCACCTGCTTCAACACGTTGGGGTCGAGCTCGTTGATCTGCTGAACGAGGGCCGTATCGGATTGGGGGAACGCTCGTCTGGCGATGGCGGGAACGGGTATCGTGCGCGGCGTCTTCAGCTGGTATGCGGCGAAGCGGATCGAGGGATCGATGGTATCAGAGAGGAGGTCCTTGAAGATGTCGCCTTTGGTGGTCGTTGCCATGGCGCTGTAGATGATGCGCGATACGGCATAGCTTCGCAGGGAGGGCTCCCAGTGCTGGTTCTCAAACTGGGCGGCGCCGCGGATGTGGGCGGCGTAGGCCCGGGATTCGAGCTTGTCGTTTTGTGATGCGCCAGCCTCGGGTTGGGAGAGAAGCTCGGCGAGGAGTTCGGCCGCCTTTGTTGCTTTTTGGAGTCGGGAGACTATGTGGGATCTCGTCTTGCCGGTCATGCCTTTGGCATCCGAGGCGTGCGATGCCTTGATGGCCATGGCATTGGCCCAGGCACGCTCGCTCGTGAGAAGGAGGAGGTGGACATATCTAGACAGTGTCAGTCAACATCCCCTCGTCCTTGCATGTGTCGACATACTCATGGTTCTCGGCAATTTGCGAGACACCAACCTCACCCTTCTTGCTAAACTTTCCGCGATTCTTGGTGGCGATGTTGAGCTTCTTGCGGCTGTTGAGCAGCTTCTTGGACAGCTGGGTCTGATAGGTTGCGTAGTCTCCGTAAAGGAGAGCCGCATCGCGGCCAGAGACGACAAACTTTGTGATATCCATCGCTGTGGGTTCGTCCGTTCGACGGGGAGGCAGAATCGCGACAGGCCACACCAAAGGGGACGGGATGATGTCGAATCGACCTCTGCGCTGCGCGGGGGATTGGTGGGGCTCACCAGTGTCCTCTGCTTCAATGTCAAAATTTGGGGTGTGTCACTAACCTCCTGACTGCACACCTTCGGTTAGGTAAGCTGGGGCGGACGCCGGATCGAAGATGTTCCCATCAACGCCATGTCATTGGTTGAAGCTCCCCGAAAAAGTCCATGATGGTAGGTGGATTATGGACTGATACAGCGCTCTTTGAAGGCATCGTGCATACTTTCCGGCGGGCCCTTTGTTCGCATTTGCAGAATAGATCATAAGTCGTCACTGGGAGATCTTTCCCAATTGATACCCTCATTGAGATACCCTGCGTAGGCCAATCTAGCTTAGCTCAGCTCGGGCAACACCTCGGTCGGTCGACGACGTCTTCGATTTCGCGACTCCACCCAAAACTTTTTCGACATTGCGCGACAACACCAGCGACACCCACGACCAGCATGTGCCCGAGTGCGTTTGATGTCCGCCATACATGATCGATACGTACCGTGTTGGTGACAGCTTCAATCCCAATGCTGGAGAGAACGGCGGCGACCCTGGAATCATGTACCAGTCTTCATGCTCTTCCATCCGCCGTGCGACAACTTAGAAGCCAGCGCAGGTTGCACACCGGCTTCTGGCAGCATGGCGCCGCGGCCATAGATATCTCCAGCTACTTGCTGGCTGCGCGTTTCCATGCTACCGAGCAACTCACCTACCCCGATCCGCCGCCAACGCCTCCCGAAACCCTCGCCGCCTCGACCTTTCTTCTCGACTTTCTCTATCCCAGCGGAACCGCCTCCTTCTTACGCAGAGCCTCTCCAGGCCTTCCTCACGATCACCTGGCGTCCATTCGACGGCTTCCACGGCGGTCCAGACCATTCACCTCTTCTACGGTTGCGACTTCCACAAAAGACTCTGACTCGCCAGGGGCATTGTCAACGAACTGGGGAGAAGGATCTGCTGTGCAAGACCAGCGGTACGAATACCAGCAAGATGTAGATCCGGCCGAGGAAGACGAGTTTGAAGAGGAAGACGAAGAAGATGACTACGACATCACCAGCTCGCATGACACGCATAGCGGTCCGTCATACGCCGGCGCCGGGTCGCGGCCGCAACTGATGAGGGAGCTGATGGCCGACAAAGACACGGAGTACTTTGGGTCCATATGGCAGCTCTACTCGCAGTTGGAGCCGAGTCTGCAACCAGAGTTTCGGCCCGAGATCATTGAATACCTGTATCGGTCCGCCAATGTGATCGATGCGCGAAGGGTCGTTCTCTTGTTCCCCCAAATCGACGACAGTCAGTGGACCACATTGGCCTTGACATCAGTTGTCACGGCATATCTACGCCTGGGTCGAGAGACCGAAGCGTTGCGGCTATACCACACGGCGCTGGACGAAAAGGCTTTCGTGTGCGGTCTGGACGAGCTGCTGGGTCATTTCTTTGCAAAGGGCGATTGGAAAACCGTCAGTCGGGTTTGGTCATCGTATCACACGGTGTACCTCGCCAAAGGCATCAACTGCGGAAAGTTGACGCAGCTTGCAGCAACTCCCAACCTCGGGGCCCTTGCCATGAGCTTCGCCAAGGAGGTCGAGGCGCAAGAACCAGAAGTAGCGCAGAGACTCAGAATCTTGCTCAACAAGGCGGTCAGGCGTGCAATCCAGCAACCATGCAAGCCCAAAGAAGCATTGCCTCTGCTCAAACTCATCGAAAAGGACCAGAGCAAGTGGTTCAACATTTATCTCTCGGAAGCCATGGCACGAGGACAACAAGAGGGATTGGCCAAGGTGTACCGTGTGTACCGGTCATTTCCCAAGGTGAGACCACACTGGAGGATTCTCCATGGCATGTTTGATATCTTTTACCCAGACAATGTCGCGGGCCTCGAGCAGGTCTACGAAGACTACCATACCAGCTACGGGGGACTGGACCGTTGGGGGTTCAGGAAGTTCCTCAAGTACTACGCATCACGAGGCGACGTCAAGTCTCTGGAGCGTTTGTGGGACAACTATGTCGGCGCCTACCGTCACCGCCACGTCCTTCGGGAGCCAGAAACATTCAACTACGTCATCAACGCCTATGCGAACCTCCAGGACTACAAGAGCGCACGTCGATTCTTTGACGAGATGATAGAAAAGCATGGCGTGATACCAAATACCGAAAGCTGGAATCAGCTTCTCAAGAGCGCCTGTGCGAACTACGACCTCGCCATGTCGGTGTTTGAAGAGCTCTGCGAGAACGTATCACCCGACAAGTATTCTTTTGCTACCATCATGTCCACCTCTTCGACAGACGGAGACATTGCAAAGACCTTGCAGCTTCTCGAGAAAGCGAAATCGCTAGGCATCGAGCCGGACGCCACCATGCTTGAGAGGGTCATCCGGGCCTACTCTTGGCATGACCGGACGAGAGCCATGTTGTCAGTTTGTCTCGATGCGCACGCCAACAACGTTCCGGGCGACCACGGCATCCTTTGGAACGCTCTTTTGCGGTCTCAAGCGAATCGCCGCAATCTGCCTGCTGTCGCTCGTGACTTGGAGGCCATGGCGAAGCAAGGCGTCAAGTGGACGCCCGAAACCCATACACAGCTGCTCCGCGCCTTGGTCCGCTGCGGGCAAACACAAATGGCGTACAGGCTGCTGCGTTCGGCTGCCTTTGAGAAATCGTTCAAAGTGGTTCCAGACCATTTTGAGACCGTCGTGCAGGCTGCCCTGGACGATCGCCATTTGGGCCTAGCTCGCAAGGTAACGAAGCAGTTGCGACGATACAAGACAAAGTCGGTCAAGGGTCGCATTGCCCAGGCCCGGATCATGATCAAGCAGCAGTTGTTTGCTTACAATCAAGATGAAAACAACGTTGACGGCATGGAGGAGTTGATGACATATATTCGGGAGCTGGCCAACAAAGCGGACCATGAACGGAGTGGCTCCTCAATACGGCGCGCCGATTCCTTGCACCGCCTGCGCGTTTTGCTTGATGAGGCCATCCGGCTCTTCGCTGCGTATCGCGATTACGACGCCGTCAGAGAACTCCAACAGCTACAGAGGGACAACACTGCAGCCACGACCAGTTCCGTCAACAATGAAACTCCTGTCGAGTGGCTATACTATACGATGAAGGAGGATGCATCCAACAAGAAGTACGAAGAGGCTCTGGCAACGTGGAGACAAATATATGACAGGGTCTTGGCCATTGCTCGTCCAGCCGAATGGGGGGGTAATCGCAGAGCGGTTCTGCCGCGGCACCGTTACCGTCTTTCCAAGCCGTTTGAGACCTTTACACAGGTATGTGTGGAGCTACAGAGCAGGACGCGACTGAAGAGGGGCTTTGAGAAGCTACTTGTGTCGGGCTTCATGTTGGAGCGCCGGGCCTTTAACCTTCTGGTCCAGGGCCTCGCCCGCACGGGAGCTTGGATGGACGCCTGCAAGGTATGCGAGGAGTACCTGATGCTGAGATGGACGGGCTGGCAGCAGAATCGCATACGCGCGCAAGTCAAGAGGAACTTACCGCTCGTGACGCGTCGCGTTCAGAGCTCGTCGCAAGTGCTACGCCCGACATCGTACACCATCATCCTCCTGTCCAAGGAATACCATGAGCTGCGACGCACAGCCATGTGGTCGGGCGAGGCGGCGCGCAAATTCAACACCTTTAAGGAGCTGTGTCCGCGCCTGGAGGATGCACTCAGGAGAATGGTGTACACGGGCGTAGGCATCGAAAAGGAGCTCTATGGCACCCAAAAGAGGTTCGTGGAGGCACGGGCCGAAGAGATGCTCTCGGTAGTGGATGAGGGAGGCATCCTTGGCTCGCAGACGGAGTCTCTGTCGTTTACCATGGGCGGTGTCACGATTGACGGTCTGCGGACCCGGATGTTATTGGTGCCCTCCCTTCCTCAGGATCCATCATCGTCAGCGCAAGCGCCCGAGGCTTCACTGATAATCACGAGCGGAGTGACTATCGACGGCCTGCGGACTCAGGGTTCATCGTCGTCGGTGCCTCGCGTGGAAGATGTTGGCTCTCAACCTGAGAGCACATTGTCGGCGCAGCAGCCTGAGCATTCATCAATGACTACGGGTGGAATTACTATCGACGGCCTGCGGCCCCGGGGTTCGTCGGCAGTGTCCGACTGAACCTATGGGGACGCGGCGTGTATCAACAGAGATATCTTGTACAAGACTTATTAGACCAGACATGAGTGTGTTGTTTAGAAGGCATTTAATTGCAGCGATGATTTCTCGGAGAGGTTTTGACATCCTCCTCGACGGGGATGACGATAGATGTGACAATACAACTTTTGTTTATTAGCTTTGGTCTAATCTTCGTTGAAAACTACAATAAGCCACAGCCCGTTAATCACTCGCTATCCCGTCCTTTGGAGAGTGCATGATCCCTTGGACGGTGCCCACCATGGTGTCCCCCATGCCCTCGTTCAGCGCATCGCGGCTCGCAAGCCCAAGCTTACTCCTCTGCATCACAAACAGCGCGGCCGTCGGCGCGTCGAGGCTATAATCGAGATGCGGGTTGAAGATGAAGTTGCCCCCCTGGCAGATATTATCCCCCGTGTGGCACACGACGAGCAACTTGGTCGGATCGACCCCGTCAATGGCTTTCCCGCCCAACGGGTCGCCAAACAGCACGACGCTCGACAGACGCGCGCGCTGGTCGGGCGGCAACTGCGCCACGGCGAGGCGGGCCACCTGCGAACCCTGGGAGTAGCCCGAGACCGTGAGGCGGGTGTCTGGGCAGGCGGAGAGTGTGCGGGAGGCGACCTGCGCCGCGAAGGCAGCGCCCGTGGCGGAGCCGCCTGCGAAGAAGCCTGGCGGGTCGGCCGGGTAGGAGTTTACGCCCTGGATTGCGATGGAGCCTGTGCCGTTCATGTAGGTGCGGAGGGCGTCGAAGAAGGGGGGCCCGGTGAGGAAGCCCACGTTGCCTGTGTTTGTCAGTCTCTCGACTTCGTTCCGTTCAGGGGGGGGGGGGGGCGTACCTGGCTCGTTGGTCCCCCGGGCAAAGAGGACGGCCACGTCCGGACACGTCACGGCGCGGGTGGTGTTCCCCGGGAGCGGGAGCGGCATGCCCGTCGTGCCGTTGATGCCGAGGGCCGTGTCGAGGTCGTTTTGCGTGATGCCGTTCTCGGCGACCGTCTCGCGGAGGGCGCGCACGACCAGCAGCGTCGTGTTGACGACTTTGTCCACCAGGCCCGGCACGCGGTCGAGGACCTCGAAGGAGCCGGAGAGGAGACTCGAGAGGTCCCTGTCGCGGTAGGGGTTTCCCTTGATCTTTTGCGGTGGTGTTGGTGTCGTTTGTAGTGAGGGTATCGGTATCGTCAGCGCCGTGGTCTGCTGGTGTAGCAGGGCTGACGAGAGGAGGAGGGCGGATGACGGCCTCATCGCGCCCCTTGTGTTCGTGTAAGTCGTGCCAAGGTGGTGTAGGTGAGGTTGTCACGTTTTGGGTGTACCCAGATGGTGATCGTTCGGGTGATCGTCAACCGCAGAGCCGCAAAAGGTAACCTTGGATCGAATAAGGGACCTCTAGGTTACCAGAAACCCAAAGGATTGTCAAGGAGGGTTGTTCAGGGTATTTCAAAGCTTTGACATGTGCGTGGGCAATGTCCAGACGTCCTTGGCGGTTGATGAGAGAGTTGCGTCACACACATGGGATCATGTAAGTGAGCTCCTCAGCGACGGGGGCCCCCCATTGCGTACTTGCGTACTCACGACCAGACTCGCTTCAGATGACGCCGCCTCACTCGGACAGCATTGTAAGTGAGGAGGGGGCATTGTGAGAGAAAGTCGCAGACCACGACGGAATCTCCCTCACCACCAAAGAAGGAACACCAAAAGAAAAATGACACAGCCCCTCCCGTGCAAAACGCGAAGGCGAAGGCGTTTCACACCACCACCACTCCTAAGCATCCCCCGCTGCAGGCGGCGGGCTCACGGCGAGAATATGCCGCAGTGAAACCGTCTGATGTCGAATTCGTGAGATTTCATCGCCAATGACAGGGCACTGAGATGCTTCGCTCGGACTTTGTCGAGCGTGGGATTCCGTCATTTGAAGTATTTGAAAATGTCGACGCTCGGATGTAAGAGGAGGTGAGAGTGAGTGAGTGAGTGATGAGAGTGGGCGCATAACCCCCAAGAACCCCTCTCCTCATTAACCCGATGTCTGGCATCATGAAAGTAAGTGCATCTATTGCAGTGGTCTGACATCCTCGTTCTAGATTCACTCTGCTACTCTTACCTTCATGATCCTGCCAAGTTGGTGACAAAATGGGTTCCCCCTCATCACATTCGGCGGCCACTCTCCATCATCATTACGACCACGAATACTAAACGGAGAATACTACAAGTAATAACCATCAAATCCCTCAAGCGCATCTCTTACGTAGCATTCACTTAACCTTAATCAGAGAAGCGATTGCCTTGGTACGAGTAGAAAGAGTGCTCAATATGATGTATACTATGTTATCACCCACTCACTTCCTTCACACTCCAGCCTGATCTCCTCCCATCATCCGTGCCTCCCACCTCGAAGTCCGTGTCCCGCAACCGTGTGTTCTCAGTCAACACCTAAATAAACACAGCCAAGACCGCACGCAAACAAAAAAACCGCCTTGCGCCTTCGCACTCGGGAAATCAAAAGACAGACGGACGGGAAGGCGGGAGGGCGGAGCGCTGCAAGACCCCGTCGGGGAGGGAGATCTCAAAAAGACCACGCGCAGAGATAGTAGGCATCCGTAGAACGAACTGCATGTAGGACACGCGGATGGCTTCCGTGAAGTACTCTGGCCACCCGGGGACGTCGCTACCATGTGTTCAGGATCTCCAGGACTCCGTGTGGAGGATCTCGAATTTGATAGAGTGAGGTGCTTAGTTTATGAGTGTATGGCTTTGAGCCGAGTGATATGAAAAAGCTTCCATGTCAGACACCCGGCCTCTCGGGGACTCACCTACGATTCGATCACCAGCACCCACTGCAAACGACTGATCAAGTACGCACCAAGATGAGTAAGTACTATCTCTCATAAGATATCTCGATATGAACACCGCCGCCCTCGGCGGAACGTGCCTAAATAACCAAAAACTCCATCCGTCTATGACATACCCCGTTTCCCATAAAACAAAGCGCCCTTAGTGACCCTTACCCATATAACCCGGGGCTAAATAAGTAAAAACACCAAAATCGGTGTCGTAAATATGTACAAAATGGCTCCAATATGATGTCAAGTCTCCAAGTGAACCACGTTCACTACGGTCGACCAAAAGGCATCTCGCCTTGCTGCTGCCCCTGTCCCTGGTTCTGTACACCCAAAGACCTCAGCCGCTGCGAAAGCAACCCCTCCGCAGCGCCACCAGGACTCCCGCCGCGCCCAGAGGACGGCGCGAACGCGTTGCCGCCGTATCCGACGTCCCCCTTGCTCAGCTTCTCGTACCTCGCAATCTGCGCGTCCCAGCCGTCCTTTGTTGTCGGCCTGCTCGCCTGCGACGACTGCGGCGACAGGACGCCGGGCGTCGTGGTACTCGTCGTGTTTGTCGTATCGCTGACGTCGCTCCCCAGACGGGCACGCCCTCGCCCCGAAAGGGCAAACGGCACCGCTTCCACGGGCTGATTATTGTTTCCCCCGCCAAAGCTAAAGGGTGACGGTGACTGCCGACTGTACCCCGCGGCCTGCGGCGATTGCGAGAACCCGTCTGATGTACTCCCACCATCCGCCGCGTACGGGTAGGCAGACGGAACCAAGGGAAACCCGGCACTCCGCCTCCGAAACGCCTTTTCGGCCGCGAGCGTCGCCGCAGGTCCGCTGTGGCTGCTCGACATGGGCGGGTGCATCACGCGGATGGGCTTGTAGGGCGTGAACCGCGGCTCCGGGTTCGTCGTCTCGTTTCGGAGCTTTTCTTTCCCGTCGGGGACGCGGTTGGCAAAGACGATGCGGACGCTCTTGTAGAGGTAGAAGCGCCCCTTGGACGGGCAGCAGATGTGGAGGTGCACGAGGTATCGCAGGATCGGGCGGTCGGCGGCGGCGGCACCGGGTGCGTCCTCTAACCCGGGCGTGTTCGTCTCCATAATGGGACCCGCGGAGTAACTTCGCTGCCGGATAAACGTCTTGGTCCCGGGTTCCATACCGGCCAGGTCGTAGGGCACCAGGAATAGCTTTACCGCCGTCTTGTTGGGATTCTTGATGACGATTTGGATCTGCCCCTTTTCGGGGATGCGATAACTCCCGCCCGGCGGAGCTCTCGGAGACGCCGATCTCCGTCTGGCCCGCTGTGCGGCACGATCCGAGGACCCGTCCGCGGGCCCATCCGCCATGAGGACGTCGTCTTCGGCAATCTTCTTCTCGACGTACCGGCTTTGCATCTTCCTCTTGGACCGCTGTCCCTCCTCGGGGTTGGGTAGACCGTTTTCCAGGTCAATCTGGCCGACGTACGGGCTGGGGCCGTCTTCCGACCGCACACGCCCTTGCGAAGCTCCCCCGTAGCTGTAAAACACGGCGGGAAACGGCAACGTCACATGGGCGGGACACCGCAGACTGGATTTGCACTTGCCTAGCCCCAGCACGCCAATCTGCGCAAGAAAGTCGAGCGGCTTGGACGGGGTCGTGGACATGCGGCCGCGGAGGATGCTCTCCTCGTACGACCCGACCATGGAGGCGTGCTGCAAGGGGGAGGTGTCCGAGTTGAACGACGGCCGCCTGGGTCTCAGAAACGCCGCGGGCGTCTGCGGCGACGAGGCGGCCCCAGGGAGTGGCACCTGCGGGATCGACGTGAGGGAGCGCCGCGGCTGGTGCGCCTGGTACGGCAGCGCCGCTGTGCCCCGGTGCGAGGACTGCCTGGGCGAGGGGAACGCAAAGGGGGACGATGTGACCGAGTTCAACGTGTGTCGCCGCAAAGGGCCCGCGAAACTCGGTGAGCCCCCGGTAATGGCGATGCTGTTGAGCGGCGCAGACAGGTCGAGCTGGTCGTTGCTCTCGGACTGGACCAGCGGGCTCGTCGGCGGCTTGTAGACGAAGCTAGACGAGAATGAGGAGGACAAGGAGGACGGGACGGAACGGTAGTCGTCATTCGTCGCCGGAAACGGCAACCTCGTCTCGAACTGAAACGGGGAAAAGTCCCGCGGTGGTGACGTTGCGAGCCATGAACTGCGCGACGCCAAGAACTTGTTGGTTGCGCCATGCGTCGTCTCCTCCTGTGTCGTCTCCTGCTCCTGCTGCTGCCGCGACCGCGACCGCGGCCTCGGCTGGTGGTCCTCTGTGAAGTCGCCGCTGTGCAGAGCAGACCGCGGCCTCTGTATGCTCAACCCTTCGCGCAGCCGCTCATCGTCCTCTCGCGAGCCGTCGGCGGCTGCTCTGTCCGGGGTGATGCTCGCCGGCGGCAAGAGGCTGTTGTTGGACGAGCTCGAGGGCGGCCGGGGACTCTTGGGCGTGCTCGGGCGGGGCAGGTTGTTGAAGAGCGACTCGAGCTTGGTGATGTTGTGAGCCACCAGATCGGTCCTGGGTGATGCGACACGGCGGTTCGGGATCCAGGTCGGGCTCTCCCCGCGCTTCAGTCGTTCAATCAGCTCAGCCCTGTCAGAGGTAACTGCGGCGGCAGCATCGGTGTCGGTGTCGGTCTCGGGTGTTGACGGCCTCGTCGGGCTCTCGATAATGGGACCTTCGCATAGCTCGGTTCGTATGCTCTCTTCAGAGAGTCTTCGCATGGGCGACGGTCGGTGTTGTGGTATGGGCGGAACTGCTTGCGGTGTTTCTGGCGCGGCGGCCGCTCTGTGCTCGGCTATGGATGATAAGAGGTGCTGGTGGTGTTCGAGATCGTCCTGGAAGATGGGCATGGTTTGGTCGAGGTCTGAACCACAGCACGGCTGTGGTCCAGATCTGGCGTCGGGTTCGCAATGTTGGCGGCGGTCGAGAGGAAGCCGATCATGCCTCCCGCGTCGTCTGCTCTGCTTGTTGGTTTGTAGTTGTAGTTGTGGGTTGTATGGAGGAAAAGGTGGTGCGTCTTTGTCGGGTGATTTTGGTTTCGTGGTGTTAGTCACCAGGTTAATTATTCTTTAACAAACGGGGCCCGGTAAGACGTCATAAAGCGCACCCCTGGCCGTAAGGTACTATCAGTAAGTATCTTAGGTTCTGAGTCAAGCAAGGGTACCGGTGGTTCTGGCGTGCTTCACTGGCGTTGTACGAGAAATGAGGCTGTCTAAGAAGAGAGACAGGACTGCACTAACGACGGTAGGACAAGAAGGTAAAAGTATCCGTAAAGATAGAGACAGAGAATGAAGAGGTTGGAGTTGCGGTCAGTGACATGCAATGCAATCCATCCGAGTGAGCTAACCACCTGAGTACTACTCCGTACTGCTGGAGGGAACATGCAGCTGTCGTTCGTCGGGGCTGGCAGAGGCGGGCCCCAGCACACCAGTGTAGCGCAGGCCCGCAAGCGTGCTAAGGCAGGTCAGGTAAGGGCCTGGGGGGGGAGGGGGGAACCTCTAGGGTAGGTGGTCAGCTGCCCCAAGTCCCCAACTTTAGCGAGCAACGGCCATCCTCGCTCTGCCAGTCTGGTGAGCGATTCACTCCGTCAATGGACCGTCACTTGAGTTTCTTGGACCGATATGCCGACCCTTGCTTCATGCATCCGCCAGAGAACCCACCAGGACCAACATCGTCCCTCATCGACCCCTTATCCGTCGTCAGATCCACCCTTGTTCTGCGCTGGCGTCGTCCCACTCGCGCGATGCGATTCACGTTTGCGTCGGTGTCCTGCCGTGCGTCTCATTCATGCCCGACATCCGCTGTAGCCATGAAATAAAAGATAACCTTCTCAACTATGGTGCAAGCCACAGACGAACACGGGATAGTTTCTAGTTCCCGTACAAGCAGAACAGATAGAGGAGAAACAGAGAGGGAAAACATCGTTTCCGTTACGACGCTGACCAAATAATGTTGATCAATTCAATGGCTGAAACAGTAGGCAGAGTCTTGTTTTCTTAAACTCAACCAACGCCTTGACTCTATGCGTCTACCATGAATCCTGTTCCTGGGTTTTTACGTTTCCCGCTTTCGTATCCTTTCAGAGCATGCATTCCAAGCTTAGCCAAATGCCGGGACAGGTTTCGGACCCTTGGCCCCGCTCTAGACCTTCATCACCTCTCACATTAGTGACGATGGGCTTCGTAGAAGATGGGTTAGAGTGAGTGGTACGGAGTACTCAAGACCCAGTGATCAAACAAATCTTGGCTGGTAGCTTGTCATTTATACTCTGATAAAGTCCTCGGGCAGCTCTCATTATGGTAGACTTATCACGACCCGTCAAACTCTCACAACCTTCTCACCGCCGATTTCGCGCTGATTAACCCTCTCAGCTCGTACCTAGAACACCACGTCAAAAGTTTTCTAGCGGAATACTGAGAGTTAGCAGCTGTAAGACTTTAAAAGTCGTTATTCAAAAGCCCTTCACCAAGAAATCTCGGCTCCTGACGACAACTGCGACATCACTAAATGGCCCTCACCAATTATTAAACATCACGCATACGACATAGAGTTCGCCTTGGGGGTATCAAATTTTGGTATCAATTCTTGCGGTAACGTGTCGCTTTAGTGTCCGTTGAGACAATATCGTGAGACGAATCCTCGTCCCAAACCTGCATCCTACTACTTGGAACGTATACAGGTAACACTGTAGTCTACTTCGTCCTCTGCTCTCTTCCATACGACGAGCACCCCCTACTCAACTCCCCAGTCATCGTCATCCGCAACATCATAGTCCATATCCCGCTGCTGTTCCGGCTGCTGCTCCATCAGGTCACGTGCCGCCGACGATCCATTAGGTGCGGCGTTGCCCATGGCCATATCATGGTCAGACGCGCCCTGGGTCTTTGACGATGCGCCATTCTCAACAGTCTTGACGGGGGCCAGGGGCGTGGCGACCCACGACAGCTCGAGTTGGCCGTCGATGCCTGGGATCTCCTGCTTGGGGAGACCGTAAAAGAACTTCTCAGCCGTCTTGCGGTCCTTGAAGGTGACTTCGGTCTTGGACGGGGTGGTGTTGATGTCTGTAAATTCACCGACAGCAAGCAAATATTGCCGAAGCACCTCGTCCTTCTCAGACGAAGTAAAGTCCACACCCGTGACGGACACAGTCCGAGGACGGTTGTCGAGCGAGTACGCGGCGTAGGCGACGTGGACATCGCCTTGGTACCCGCCGCGGTATGATCCTCTTCCTCGAGGAGCGTAGCCACGGCCACGCGGGACGAAGCCGCCTCTGCCGCGACCCCGTCCGCGATAGCTCGCATGCCACGAGTTGGACGGTTCATCCGTCGCGCTCGGGTCGAGACCGAGGAGCTTAGCCTCGTCTTCGAGAGCCGCGAGCTGCGCGCGAAGCGCCGAATTCAACGAGCCCTCTTCTCCATTCTCCCCTCCATCGCCGTTCTTCGAGGCCAACTTAGCTTGAAGCTTCTGCTGAACCTCGCGGTGCTGGGCGAGAAGCTCGCGTTGCCGCTGCTCCAGTTCTTGGCGTTGCTTGTCTAGCTCTGCCTTCTTTTGCGCTTTTTCCTCGTGCTGCCGCTGGGCCTCTTCTTGCTTCTTCATAAACTCCTCAAGATCAATCTCCGGCTCAGCGTCTGGGTCTTCGCCATTGGCAGCAGCGCGTGCGGCAGCCTGCTCGCTCTCTTCCACGAACCAAAACACTCTGACGAAGCGGTTGTCAAAGATGACCTTGGGAGACCGGTACGCCGCATTGGCAGCATCCCACGTGTCATACGTGACAGTTGCGAGCCGCTTGTGAGGCTGCAGCGAGACCTCTTGAATATCGCCAAACTCGGAGAAGAACTTGCGGACTTCCTCCTCAGACAGGTACTCCTCGGGTATGTTCTCCACGACGATTGTCGTCTTCGTGGTATCCTCAACAGGGCCTTCAGCGGAAAAGGAGGCTCTGTTCTGACGCCGTTTGCCTCTAGTAGCACGGCGGTTCTTGCGGCCCTCGCGACTGGATCGCTCAGCGTTGAATGCCTCCATGAGCTGCTGCATTTGTTGGAAGTTTTGCGACATCATCATGGCCGCGTCTCGGGGATCAAAGTCTGTGCCATTATGTCAGTCTAAGACTCGTCCAACGATGTTCAATAACAAAAATGGTAAAGAATGTGTAGCTTTCAGTAGTCAACCTTATAAAATTTTTTGTAAAGTCATCGCACGAATGCTCTGATGGATTACTCATCATGCTACGGGTTGGGTGTGATGGACAGAAAAGATGTTGAACTCACCATCGAATTTCTGAGGACCACTAGGACCGCTAGGCGGCAACCAGATGGGCTCGACGCCGTGGTCATACTGGCATGAGCTTCCCCGAGCGCAGTACCCCTTGGTCGCGAAGTCGCGGCATTTCTGCCTATTTCTTCGTGGCCCTTGAGGCGGGGCGGCGCCCTGAGGATAGGCCGGTGGCATCTGAGGCATCCCGCGCCAGTTCTGGGGGCCAGTTGGTGCTCCTCGCGGGAAGTTTGGGTCGTACGGCGCCGCCGTAGCCGACAGCTGGAACGAGCCATCGGCAGGGAACGGCTGCGCAGAGTACCCTCCAGCACCCGAAGCCGTCGAGTCCCACTGACTCCGGCGAGGTTGCTTGTAAGCGCGCTCCTCGAAGCCCGCGTCCCGATCGCCCGAAGCGCCGGCGTCGCTCCTCTCATTGAATGAGCGCTTTCGCGAACCACCCTGAGACGGAAACTCCGAAGCCGCCGAGCGATTGTCTGCCTCTGTCAACCTCTTGGGCGGGGGAGGCGCGCCCGGGAGAAACGACTTGTACTCAATGACGCGAAACAGCTCGTCAACGAATTCCGGCGCGGTGTCTGTGGTACGGTTTGTTAGCGAGAGCTTGAACGCGTCGTCATTGTTATCACGCTAACCTGTGTTGAGGAACTGCGGCAATTCGCTTTCGCATGCCGCACGAATGTGCGCAGCGTCGCCTTCCTGCGAGGCGAGAAGAGCAAGGACATAGTCGGCCAAGATGTCTGTCTCTGTATCGGATCTGGGAGTGGTCAGCAAGAGCAATTACGAGGCAGCTGGCAGAGAGACGAACACTTCAGGCAGCTTGCTCAGGAGCCACGTCCTGAGCAAGGGCGCATCCTCCTCTGCTAGAAACATGGTCGTCGCAGTCAGGGTCGCGCCAGGTCATGGGATTGAAGAACAAAAGGGTTGACGTATCAATAAGTCTGATACTCAAGTAATGTATGGACAGGTTGGAGTCATTGTTGTTGCTCGGCGGGAAGCCACGCGAACAAACAAAAATTTGCCCAGAAATGAGAGGTTGTTGCGAGAAGGAGCTTTGTCGGAACGAGGCTGAAAGCTTTTATTTGCAGAGCTCGCTAAGACGACCCACTTTAAACCTAAGTGGGATCCATGCGAGGGTCGGCGTCGCTGCTGCTGCCCGCTGCCGTTGCCCGCTGCAGATCTCAGTCTTGTCTCGGGAGGATATGGCACGGCGATCTGAGATTCAACAGACTCGTGTTACTTCATCACAGTACAGGCACAATGCAGCATTTACATATTGAACTTGTCTTCATTTGAGACTACGCGAAAGCTATGGAAAGAACGGGGTCATAATTTTTGATATCATCCACCAAACCCAGTTCGTCATAAATGCCCAAAAAGGCACAACGCCATTTTCTATTAACCCGTGGGAAAGGCGTTTACAACTTGTCGTAGTACTGCGATTCGTTAGCATTGATCAGTCATGGAGGTTTATTAGGGAAACTCACGTTCTCAACACCGGGAACCTCAACCTTGAGACCCTTGCGCTTACGCATCTCCTGGACGATCTGGCCGACCTTGGAGGTGCCGTCCAGAGGAGAGCCAC